TTCTAAGGGACATCTAAACATTCTTCAGTCATGTTTTATAACACTTTGCACAGTCACTAAAAATCCTGAATAAACCCCAAGAATGGTAAAATTATCAAACTGTGCTTTCAACACCAACCAAGAGTTTCTGGACTTTGGATAAAATCTACACTGGAATCCAAAGCAGAATGCTCTGGCAATGTAACTCGTACCATGGAGAAAAGCTGCATCATACAACATGTGCAGAACTCTTCCCAAGGAAAATCTGTTTTAACATCCAGGTCCCAGCATTTCCTGTTAATATTGCTAAGTAGGAAAATAGCTGAAACACACACTTCTCACCCATATCTTTTCTATAAGATTTGAGGCTAATCAGAAAACATGGTTTTCCATAATTTTGCTTCCACTTTTTCAAGAATCCTTGCAACACATGGTTTTTGAGAAGTTCTTACAGTTTCAAAGAGTCTCTCCATGTCTTTATATTTAAGTGAAGTTTCAGAATTTGGAAGAAACACTCAGTTCAGTCTACAAGATAACAACATACATTATTACCCATGTGAACTGTTTATTTTAACTTAAAATACCCATTTTATTTTAGGGAAACAAGCCTCTGATTGTGGAGTAAGAATAATACATCAGGGAACAACAATGTACTACTTTCAAATGTAAATTCTGAGCCAATAGCACACCAATTCCTAGGGTAGACTCCTATTATTACATCTACTATATCACATTCCATGTGGACTACTTTAAACAAAGCCATGACTTTATTCCACATTATTATGGCAACTCAGTGTATGAACTCTGTGTCTTGTGTTACATTGCAATGTACCTGAAAGAATTACAGTACCATCACCAAGTTTTTCAAATCAGTTCATCACAAGGCAGTAAGTACTATACTTGAAATTTTTAAGAAAGATATTATAATGTTTTAAAGCAACATTACATTAACTCATGTAGTTCATTTCATACTAAGAAATTTTAATACAATGAAACTGAGTGGAACACAATCATTTTGTCTATGTGTATACTATGTCTTTTAAATGACTGTATGCGATTAAATATTAGTGTGTGTAGGACAGAGACAGAGACAGAGACAGAAGGAGGAAAAAGGCAGGGAGGTTTTCAGTAATTGTGTGTGTGTGTGTGAGAGAGAGGGAGAGAGAGACAGACAGACAGACACACAGACAGAGAAAAACAGAGACAGCAGGACAGAGATATAGAGTTAGAGACACAGGGAGGAAAGAGGGAGGGAAGTTTCAACTCAGGCTGTCCTCATTACTTAGCAATCAGTACCACTGGTTTGTTCAGGCAGCCTCATTGTTTCTGATTGTTTGATCTGCATGAAAGAAATGACACAGGACATAATGCATCTGTTCCACTTAGGGAATCAAACTGTTACAGCTAGAACTGTGTAAATTCTGCATTAATCATCAGCCCCACTTTGAATCAAGTCCTAGCTGTAGACACAGCCACACCCTCATCTCCTAGTGCACCCCTTAACCACGGCCTGTATGTACCCCAACTCTGCCAATCATTTGGTAGTTATGTGAGTGCTTAAAATATTCTATAGATTTATTAATTTAGTCATAATTACACAAATTTTACAAGAGATATCTCCTATGGATAAATCATACAAAATACACTTTTAGTAAGGGGCCCTTGTTCACTAACTTCATTTCAACTGCACATTAAATGTATTTATTTACTCTTCTATGATTATAGTGCAATTTCTTTAAAAACTTTAAACTGTAAAACAAGCAAAAGATAAAAAAGCATAAAATTGACTTTTGTAAATGATTTGCTTCAAAAAATATTGGATATGAAACTCCTGGAGAATAGTACATTTACCTGAATATTTTACATTGTATAAGAATGTACTTTAAGTTTGTGAATTTTCAATAAACGTTCAATATCAATGAATTATATGGTACAATCATTATAAGTTCTGTCATTAAAATTTTAGGTATAAGACTTATTGAGATAGTCAGCAAATTACCCAAAAATGTTATTTTTCCTCGTAATGCATTCAGGGTCACTGCAGACTAATGAGAGAAGCAGAAATCATACACAGAATAGATATAATATGTGTGGAATAAAGTCATTATTTTAAGTAACTGATATGGAATATTGTATAATAGATATGATCAGTGTCTAGCCTAAGAATTGGTGAATTATTCCTTCAAAATATGTTTAAAAATTATCTATTTCTTAGTTCTTTGATAAAAGATAAATAAGCACATTTATACAGCACAATATAGAGAAAACATATTCTCTGTCTTCTCTGTATAGAAAATACCGATCAGTTACAAATTATACCTGAAAAATATTTCTACTAAGCAATGACAAACAATCTTCCATTGGACCAAGGTGACAGCAGACTCTGCCTGAGGACTGCTCTCTGATGATAGAGACACAGAACTGTGTTCCATGAAGAGCCCAGACCCACACAGTGAGCCCTCAGAACAGAGCTCCACAGTGCCTGCTGGTGCTATTAGTCTTTCTGCACCTGCCCTGCTTGGCTTCATATCTCTGAATTCTCAGAACATGGAATTAATCCTTTGTGTACCAGGGAGGAGAGAAGGTAGAGGAGGAAGGAGGAAAGAATAGAGGAAGACTAGGAAATCAGACTCAGGCTAGGACCGAATAAACCCAAGTAATGGAAAGTATAACTCAGGGGGTGGACTGGAAATACCTTCTGGAGGATTTCAGCATGAGGGGGCCTCGGAGTTCCCTTGGATTTTCTGCCACCCCTGCTTCTGTGACCTGGCACCCAAGGCTCCTGGAATAGCAGCACCCAGACCTGCACAGCTGCTCTGGGCTGTCCCCCACTGTGACCTCTCCAGCAGGCTCCACACAGGTTGGACTCTGGCTTCATCCACACTGTCCTACCAGGCCCCAGAGCTTCAGATGTCTGCACCCCAAGCCTCTTCACTGCTGCTGCCCTGAGAGTCCCCGGGGAGTGGGGAACCTTGGGGGACCCATGCTGAGATCCAGGCTGGGGATAGGGGGCTGAGGGTTTATGGAGCAGCAGGGGAAGGAGGAGGGTGGTGCCACCTGCTGAAGTCCCCTGGGCTGGGGCTTCTGGGGACAGCACTGCCACCTTTACCTAGGGGAGCAGGAGCAGAGGAAAACAGGGTGTCCCAAGGAGCCAGAAGGAGTTGCTTCTGCCTGAGGCTCTGGGGCCACCAGGAGTCTGGGTGTTGCAAGGGAGGAGATGGAGTCTGGCTCAGCCTTGGCTGATAGATTAAGATCAGGAAGAAGCATCTGTTGTCCCCATATAAATAAATAAATAAATAAAACCACTTCCCTGCACACTTCTGCCTCATGTCCTCATCCTCCTCCTCCTTTTGTTTTCATTAAACTTTGTTTTAATGGGTCTCAAAATTCTGTGACAGATTTTTGGTCAAGTTGTTTCTATTAAAAAGTGTTGATTTTAAAAACTAATAATTTAAAACTGCCACACACAAACACACACACAAACCCAAATGGTCCTCAAATCATTCTGCATTCTCCTTTCCTTCTGAAGGTTTTAGGATGCACTGTCATCACTAACCAGTCTTTCACTATTAAAGTTAAATGGCCAATTGGAGACACAGCTCTGAGGCTGCTGTTCAGTCTCTAATGAAGCCTGTGGTGGCAGGGCAGGGATAATATTCCTTTAGGCTTCTGAGCTCTCCAGGCAGACCTGGTCACCTGACCAGCTGCCCCAGCCTTCTTGTCCACTGCTTTGATGACACCACAGAGAGCTGCCTCCTATCATGAACAGCGAAATGACCCAGAGGAAGAGAGAAGCTTTGGACACTCATGGGCTATCTTGGAACCCTGTCAATGACAGCAGCATCACCAGATTTTAAGAATTTGAGCCCTTCTTCCATATTCTTACCAGACTTGTGGTCAATCTTTTCTCTTGGCTCAGCAAACTTGCAAGCGATGTGAACTGTGTGGCCATCCAGCACAGGCACAGCCAACATTGACCTGGCCAGGATGGCTCAGGAAAATCCCCCAGTCGGGAAACCAGCTGTTTCCATGGCTGGATCATTTTTGCTGTCACCAGCAATGTTGCTCCCTTGAACATCTTTGACAGACACATTCTTGACATTGGAATCCTTATTGTGTCCAGGAAGAGTTCCCAATGCTTCATGGTGCATTTCAACAGACTTTACTTCAGCTGTGACATTGGCTGGAGCAGAGGTGATACCATGCCAGGTTAGAGAACACCAGTCTCCACTCAGCCCAAAGGGATGGTACCAATACCACCCATGTTTTGGAACTCCTGGAAGGGCAGCCACGGAAGCCTGTCAGTTGGGCAACTGTGGGAGGATGCAGTCCTAAGCTTCAAGCAGTGTGGTTCCATTGGCATTGCCATCTTTATGAATGACCTTTTGTCCCTTGAACCAAGACATCTTAGCACTTGACTCTAGCATGTTGTCACCATTCATCTGTGCCTTCACATTGTGTTAGTGTGAGTGCCAGATGTACACTAGTAATCGGCATGTATAGGTGAAGATGTGAATTCAGATAGCTTTTCTTTATATATTCCTACTACACAGGAGAAAATTCAATATCATGATTTATCCAATCACATACATTTTTGAGAGGTCAGAATAAGAGGTGTAGCAAGGACAATGGGATAAGTGTGCTCAAAGGAGTGTGAGTATTTGAGAGGGATTCAGAGCAATGTGCTTTTTACTGTAATTTTTTAAAAATTAAAATATTCCACAAAGGTTTTGATCACACAACATATTTAAAAGGACTGCAAAGTTTTCTAGATTTTCCATTTCAAAATCTCCATAGTAAAACAATACTGTGCTCAAAATGATGAAAACTTCAGGACCAATATTTTTATTGGAAAGGTTAAACAAGGAAAGCAGAAATATATATACAAGAACACATAATGTTTATCATGTTGTAGCTCAGAGTTTTTATGTCTTAACCCTAAATTCTAGTTTCTGAGACATCAGGATTAAACAGGTTTCTAGTGCCTATCCACTGCTGAATACACTGAGGCAGAAATTCACCTACATTGTTGTAGAGCAGAACTTCCCAGCCACTCTTCTCAGGGCCCCCAGAACCTCCTTGTTCCTAAGGCTGTAGATCACAGGGTTGAGCACTGGGATGAGGATGGTGTAAAAGGCAGCTACCACCTTGTCCTTTGCTGGAGACTGGAAGGACTTTGGGCAGAGATAAGAGTAAGCAAAGCGTGCAATGTACAAAGTCACCACAGTGAGGTGGGCACTGCCAGTGGAATAGGACTTCTTCCTGCCTTCCCATGAGCACATGCAGTAGACAGTGAGGAGCACTTTCCAGTAGGAACCCAGGATGACCATGAAAGGGAACAGGAGAAAGCTGATGGTGGTGAAGAACACAATGTACTCATAGACGTGGGTGTCCCCACAAGCCAGCGTCAGCATGGCTGGGATATCACAGAAGAAATGATTGATGGATCTGGACCTGCAGTAAGGAATATGGAGGACATAGACTGTATGAGGAAAGGAGTTGATAGCACCCATTGTCCAGGATCCCAGGATCATCAGCACACACACTCTTCTGTTCATGTGGATGGGGTAGTGCAGAGGGAAGCAAATAGCCATGTAATGGTCATAGGACATAGACATCAGGAGCAGTGCCTCTGCCCCTGCTAAGGACATGAAGAAGAAACACTGAACCTCACACCTGATGAAGGAGATGGACTTCTGTCCAAATAGGAAAGCAGAAGCCATCTTGGGCACAGTGGTGCAGATGTAAATGAGGTCCATGAGGGAGAGCTGACTGAGCAGGAAGTACATGGGTGTGTGGTGCTGGGCATCCAGGAGGATGAGCAGGACCATGCACAGGTTGCCAGCCAGGGTCATCAGGAAGATGGGGATGATGAAAGTGAAGAGGAAAAGGCCAAGGCTTGATGGGGGTAACAGGCCCAGGAGGATGAAGTCAGTAGAGGTCTCATTGTAATTTTCCATCAGGCATTTGCTTAGCTTTTCCTGAGAGCACCTGCACCAATGTGGTACATATAAATAAGAAGTTATTTCAACTCATTACTTTATTAAGGCTGGCATATTCAAATATTTTAGCTCTTTAATAAAGAACACATTTCTTAAAAAAGACTTCCATTTCCTACCTCACGTATTTGCTTGAAGATGGCAAACACATTTTAACAAAATATAATAAATCTGTAAATTTATCAAAATAACATATTTCTCTAATCCCTTTATTCACACTCAGATAGGTTGTTCACTTGCAAACTCAGATGTCTTCAAGAAGAAAACTTACATGAAATGTGCACATATATAAATGAATGGTAGTATCTCAATTATGAACCCATATTTTAATACATGTTCATGACACCTAGTGATGCTTTTACTTCCTGTTTGAGAGCCAATTTTTATAATTTTTTAGCATTTACAAAGTAATTTTTAAGTTTGGTTCACTAAAAATTTTAGGAGGTGAAAGATAGACTTTTAAAAGAATAGAAATATCAAAAATGAAAACAGAATAAAAAATCCAAGAAAATTCTCCACTGTGTTTTGCCAACAGCTCACTTCCTCTGTTTTCATGCCCTGCAGGTTCTCCTCATGACCAGGAACTTTGCAGAGGGACTCTTTCTAATCACCTAAAGGCAGAAACCTTATAACCCAGGAACCAGATCAGCCTTCCCAGGACATGGAACCCACTGGCTCCCAGCACATTTGTCTTGGCTCTGAAAATCTGACCATGCCTGTGTCTGCATGCCCACTTATGAGAATGAAGTCAAATTGGCAGCAGGTTTGTGAGCTTGCAGTCATAAAATTGAAGCTAAGTGACCCCGAAAATTGTCCTCTTCAGGATCAACAAGCATTGTTCTGCAGTGTCCTGGAACAGAGTCCTTCATGAAATGCCTCCCTCCTTCAAGGGCTTTTATACCAGATTCTAGTAAAAAAGAGAAAAGAATGTAATTTCTTTTGTGGTTTTATTATATATCATGATAGTTTCTTCAGATGAATCAAAGGAGTTTTTGTTTTCAACCATGTAGAAGGATGCAAAGCAAGACAGATAACTTTTTAGGATTTAAGGGATTTGGAGGGCACAATGAGGACATATGTTACTGTGTCCTTATAAGTCTTAAACATCCAGGAAACCCCAGGAGATCAGATCAGCAACAGACAGAGGTGAAACATAAACAGGTAAGCAAGTGTTCTGAGAGAAGAGTGAGCAAATCACAGTTTCCTCCTGTGAATGTGGGTCAGGGTGGGGTGGATTCATGCTGCTGTCTGCACAATCTGGGCAAAGAGTCTGTCACAATTCCCCTTCTCCCACTCAGCAGGGAAGTGCACTGCCCTGGTGGACAGGAACTGTGGGTCCCTCCCCAGCCTGCACAGAGGATGAACCTGCTCTAGGCTGGTCCATGGGGGAGAGTCCACATGTCCTGAGTGGGGCCTGATGTCCAGGGCTGGCCTCAGGCTCTCAGCAGCCCTGTCAGCTCCCACGAACCTGGCTCCCCATGGCCTCACTGAGAGAGTTGCCCCTCACATCTCTTTTTCTAACTCAGCTCATGGGCCTAAGGTGTGCAGGCGCTGCTATGGTTTCCCTGACAACTGAGGTGATTGTGCAGCAATGAAGGCTACTAACTGCTAATGTGACCTGTGAAGCAGCACAATCAGGCAGCGGTGGGTGGAGATATATGGATGACTGAGATGCATCCAGGATTCCAATGAAAATCTCCATTATTTCCAATAAGTATTTTTAAATATGAAAAACACAATCTCACTCCATTACTATTTCATCTAAATGTGGTGTTTAGAAATTAATAACTCATAAAAGAAGCTTTAGTAGACAGTTTCATCATATAGTGTTTTATAAAACATACATGAGAAAGCTTTTATAATCAACAGATTAATATAAGTTAAAATACTGTGGAAATGAAAATGCATTTCCTTTGAGATCTTATTTTGCTCATAGGAAAAAATAAATAAATAAACAAGACAAAAATAAATAAAGAAAGAAACCTATGTTCTGTAACACCTAAGGAGAAACAGGACTCTCAAATGCTGCTTCTTCCATCTGATTTTACAGGAGCAGCCTGAGCTCGCCTGGATGTGTCCCATTGTCATTGTCACAACATCCTGCGCTCCCTTCAAATCCAGGGCCATATTCATATGTTAGTTCAAAAAGCACTTTTGACTGTAAACTTTCAGTGACTGTGCCTGAAACTCTACTTCAGTTTCATTTTTGAACTTCACCATTTTTATACAGGTTCCTGCACTCATTTTCTAAATTAAATGAAATATGGAACTAAATATGGAATGTTAGATTAAATGTGGAATGTTTCCAATGTAGACAGTAATCCACAGGACCAACGGGATTCATACTATCTGTTTCAACACCTCATGGACCTGCATGGAAATACTCCGACTCCTGGAGAAAATAATTCAACTTACCAAGTCCAAATTCAAGAATTTTCAAATTGTCCCAATGTTTTTCATGCCCAGAAGTTGCAGTACAGGTCTAAACACGATACACCTGCTCTTGCTACTTGAAGAGTATGTATTCTGAAATACTGATTTTCTTATAAATATCTTAGTTCATTTAATACTCTATGAAATCTCAAATTTTGAAATATAATTTCAGTTTATATAAAATTTCAATATATATTGTATCATATAGTGTTATTATTATTTAAAGCAGCCATAATTTCAAGAACAGAGGAGAATTTAATGTATACCACAGTCTTACTATATTTAAATTTCAAGAAAGGTAATTTATAGACAATATCAGCCATTCTCTGGATTTATCAATCAGTTTCACTATCAATTCACATTTCATATTCAGAATCACTCTCACCTTTTTCTACATTTTGTGATAATTTATGTTTTATATATAAACCATCTTCACATTTAAAAAATATTTTAAGTTACTTAATGAGCACGTTGACTTTATCTGTTTTAGGGAAAAACCCATCAATCATCTAGGATGTATCTATTTATTTATCTATCTTTTAAAGTCATGTTAGCCAAATAAAATTTCCTTTAAAGTTGTCTTGTTAAGACTGTCTAGTTTTAAAAATTACTTATCTCCATATTTTATTATTTTAAGTGCTTCCTCAAGAGTCTGTACTCCCCAGACAACTGCATCCAAATGAACACCCAGAGCCTAGCCACATCCTCCCCTAGACATACAGTGCCAGAGCCCCAACCCCATGTTAGCAGAGCCTACCTGGTTCTGCCTAGTCCCTGCAGCCTGAATGCACTTCTGCCTGGCTTCTCTGCAGTGAGCCCCAAGCCCCAAATCCAGCAGTCCTGATGCAGGTGCTTTGTGGCCTGTGTGTTCCCCAGGAAAGTCTTCAGAGACAAGGACCACAGAGGCCATGTCCTATTCACAGGCTGGGCTTGGGCCAAGACCTGGAAGGAGCCTACAGTTCCTCAGTGTTTCCTCAGGTCCTGAGGGCCAGTTCCTGGGGAGATCCAGGTATTCTACTCAGACTCTCCCAGAGTCACTGTATCTCAGTCCAATGGGACCCACGATTTAATATTCCTTATCCATCCTGCACATCCCTAGAATGTATCTCCATGGGTTTGCCAGTTTTGATTTTACTGGTCAACAAATTTACCATATTATAATTTAATATGATAAATTTAAGATTAGCACAGTAGAAGAAATTCTTGAAATATCTGACATTTGAAGATTAATATT